CGCCTCCTGATGTAAAAGGTGCTATATCAAATGCAAGGATTATTATTATTCCAAGTATAATGAACAAGTCATACTGGAAGAGAGAATGACCAGCCATGAGTTGTTATCCACATTGGAACCATGACATCGGAAAGTGCAACATGGAGGTTATGCAGAGAAGGTAAAGATGTAGATTAAAAAGCAGGTGGTCATATCAGCTCATAAATCTAGAGTGGTAATCACAGGATTACTGTCAGCATACAGGCTTCACTCGACATGTTTAGGCATATTAATAAGGTCTGGCGTAGAAGGGAGGATTTTGCCTTGCTAAGGTATTGGGATCATTTCTGGAGAAACAGGAAACTGTTCAGGAGGGATGATCTTTACCTAAATGGATATGCCACCAATGTGCCCAGAAAATACACAGTCAATTCACTTTACAATATATTCTGTGAAGTGATTTGAGGCATCTCAACGACATGATAAGGTAGTATATCAAATGCAAGATAATTATTATTATTATCAATGTTCTAGTGGCAAGGGTAACCAGAATACTTATGATCTGAAGCTGAATACTCACTTTTTAGTACACCTTCTCATCTGTTTAATCCTGCAGCAGTTCCTCTTTCTTGGACTTGAACAAAGCCTTAACAAGTTCAATTATCTTATATTCCCTTTTACATTAAAGTACTTTACTCTGCTTCCAGGTGAAAACAATGCGAGTTATGCTAAACCTGGACAGCTGTCAGAGGATCATCAAAATTATTTACTTGTTACACTCGTTCACCTCATCGGTAAAATTAGCATAAGGAACATATGAAAGTTGAGAGCATATTTGTTAAAAACCTAGCCACTGGTCTTTTGAGAAAGTTATCACAGCCCTTTAACAAGAGCAGAACTAGACAAGAATGTTCAATGTCTCTTTTATAATCTTGGTCCTAGAATAGCTCAGCAGTCACATCAGACTCCTATCTGTTAAATTGATTGCAGAGCAAATCACTCAATTTGTGGCAGTCTAATTCTTGTTAGAACAAGTACACAATGAGTTATTAGGACACAGAATACTCTACTAAATAAGAGTGGTTCAGGATGAATCCATAATAGCTTTTATAAAGCTATTCGGTAAGATTTTGAAGAGGAAAATGAAAGGGTATGAGCTAAAGGTAGAACCAGCTAGTTCTTAGAGTGAAACCAGCTCAGGAATCATATGCCAAATATCCTTTTTCTGGGCTGTAATTGATTTTATGATTTTAGCTCCTGGAGTTTACGTCATAAGGTGCATGGGTTGCCTAAACCTTGTCTCAGAATATAGCTGCAATAGAATTTCATGAAGTTCTGTCAGGTTTGCTCAGTTGGTAACAATTTTACTCTGGGCAGAAAGTTGTGGATTTAACGCAAACATTGGGTCTTGAACTCATAGCCTGGACTCACAACCTGTTAGAGGGCTACACAGTCAGAGGTGTTGACTTTTGAATGAGGTTTTAGGCAAAGGTCCTGTTTGTCTGTTTAGATGAATGTGATACTAATCGATTAGAGAAGGAATTTTCCCGGTCCTGGATATTCAGATCATGTTTGTGGGACCTCGCTGGCTCAAATTGCACCACATTTGTCTAAATACAGTCACTATCAATCAGTAATTACATTTGAGATTTTTCAATGTAATGAAATGCTATAAACATACAAGGTCGTTCTATCTAGTTCAACAACATCAATCAATTAATTTGCCAATTTGAAAATGAAAATTGAAAATGACAACGTTGTACCTATGTACAAAAAAGAGTTAAACAGAGCAATATATTTTTCTACAATCATAAGAACACCTTAGGGATAGAGAAGCTGTTGGCTCAGTCCCATCAGACTGTTGTTTTCATTTTTAATTCTGGATTAAATCATTTGGTGTGTGGCACTTCTGAAAGAATGATTCTTTCAACACCCAATATGACGATAAAGTAAGAGTCATTACTACACCCTAAAAGAATTATTGATCAGCATGCCTTGCATGGTAACCAAACTGAATGTGCAATTTCTTTGGAGGACACACACATTGTGTCCATATAGCTAGGCATTCATTGCCTTTCTGCATTGAGTTCTCAGCAAAACATGTGTGCTCCAAGTTAACTTCATTAATGATTCGTTTTTTCAGAAACCAGTGCTGTTCTCTGATGACACCATCTTTACAGATGTCCTTCCTGAAAGGCTGGAGTGACTGAACTACTGTAGGCAGCTATGGACAGTATTTTACAGAGGACAGGTGAAAGATGTGATATTATCAGGACTGGGATATGGAGGGGTTGATAATTGCAAGTGATCAATGCTGGGACACATAAAACTTCTAGAATGTTGAAATAACACAAGAGCTTCCAGTGGTGATGATAGATGTCCATATTTTGTCAGGTCATAAGAGTCGCAGCAGGTGTACCTTAACGTTCTCTATTAATACAAAGCTCCACACAAAATGCTGACATTCAAGCTTTGAATATCACTTCTAACTGTAGATTTTTCTTCCAGATCACTTAGAACTCTTCCTTTGCATGCAGAGATAATTATTACATCACATGTCACCATTTTTATCCAAGGCTGTTGTGGACCTCTTCCAATTAATCATACACTGAAGGAGATTAGAATAGCTTCATTCAAGTTTAGATTCTGGTTACTTTGCTTGACATATGATATTATGACTAGGGTGAATGACATTTTCGAATTGTGTATTTTGCTGATATTTCACACCACCTTTTGGAACATGCTTCCTCTTAGTTTTTAATGACTTCAGAATAGTAAAGTAAGAAGCACAATTTTATCAGCACCTTTGGCCCATAAGAAGACAGAAGGTTTTGATTGAGGCAAGACTATTGCTTCAATCTATAAACCACTTGTTGGTCAGTGGAAAATGGCTGTCAAAACATTTTCAGAGTATCTTGATTATCTTTATTGAAAAGATTAAAATTTTCGATGGATGATCAAATTAAGGCAAAGTGTTTTATGCAACCTTCCCTAGTGATGTGTTTTTCAAAATGACTTCTATTAATTTTGGAGTTATACAAACCTATTTGCATTCATAACCAACCTCAAATAAAATCTAGATATGTTAAAGGAATTGTCTAGATGTTATTAAAATATGTTAAAATCTTAATATACAACCACGTTACAGACAAAATTATAATTATTGCAAAATGAAATTTTCAAAAGAGCAATATCAAAAATATTACAATACTAATTTGAGTTTTATTGTACATTTAACAGAGTTATGGAAGTGGACAGACTCAAAAAAACCTAAAATTTACCATTGAATCAGTGTTTTTTTAAAAAATGACCCAAGTGTTGAAATTTCATACAAGAATGGCTAGAAATCAGTGGAGCACTTAAACTGGTTTCATTCAAATTAATTCACTTTCACTGATCAGCAGGCCTATGGCAGTGGCAATGTTTTTGTAAGACTATTTTTCTCCAGCATGCTTACAGCACTAGCTGGTAGCATTACATGTACATACAAAATGCAGCTTTTTAGGTTTATACACTCAATCTATTTAATAACTTTTGGGAGAAAAGTTTTGGCACTGCTGTCATCAACAACAGTCAGTATTTACAAAATATGAAGCTTGGAATTAATAATACCCCTCAACGCAAAGATGTTTTGTGACAAGGTGGTATAAAGATTGTGTTGTATCTCTAATAATTGGCAGGTAAGATTAATTGTTTAGTCAGTGTCTATCATTTCCCACCTCCACAGGATAGCTCTATAAAGAGCTATGGGAGAAGAGTCAAATCCTCTCTCTGGTCCCTAAATTTAGCTTTCTTCATCTTATCCACCCCAGGAGACTGTGAGTGCCTTCTGCTGGCTGAACCTGTCTCTGCAGTGTTGGAGAGCAGCAGAACAATATGCAGACTGCATCAATCCAGCTAGGAAGCCTTATCATGTCTGAATATTTTACAGTAGTAAAAACAAACAAGGTACAGCATTTTAAAAAAAAAGTTCTAACACAAATGTAAGCTGGTTTCCTGCATATTAATAGGGGATGCAAACCAATACTTTTCATTAAATATCTTTATCTGAAACTCTTAACACAAAATCTTTCCTCCAATGCAGCAAATTCCATTTGAATGTTGTTTTTTCCAAAAAAATTCAGACAAATATAAGTTTATTCTTCCAAATAAGACAAGAGCATGTTCATTGTAGGTATTCAAGAACTTCTTTTCATCTTTAAGATGTCACTCTGCACTTTTCCAACCTGTTTTCAGATTATTTTCTTCCCTAAATCGTCTCAGCAGACCATTTTCTCCAGAACTGGGGTCGGCCTCATTCTTTGTGGAATCCATCACTGTCTTATGTTTACCAGACTCGATGTGATTGACACTGAATGTCACATCTGCCAAATATTGTAGATTTTGAAGCACTTCAGTGAAAACAATGTCCTGTGGTTTCCGAGATCATTCAGAGCACAGGAGAAAACCTTAGACCTTCAAAGAAAATCATGTTATTTTCAAATCACCTCCAAATGATCAACATAAATCTAATCAGAACTGGCCCTTATACTGCACTTTAAATAGTCACTAAAACCTCAGAGTTTCTGGAAACCATCTAGCATGATTTCAGAACATTCCAGTTCTTTGGATTCATTTTTCTCCCTTCATTCAAACTTTCCAATTGCTGTAATTTGAAGTTGAATGAAGTTACATTCCCACTTGAAGATATTTCTGGTAAATTTCCCTCTAGTTCCACAGTTTCTTGGACTTCTATATTTTAAATGTGATTTTAGTCTCTCGCTTAACAACAAATCTTCCTCTATTAATCTTCAATTCCAAAAAGTTCTTTTGAAATAACTTATTCTCATTTTGTTCCTGATGGACCTTAAGAGTATGACGATGTCAGTGTGTGACATTTTAAAAAGGTAAGACTTTTTAAACATGATTCTTTGTTAAGTTAAGACTTCTTTTTAAGACGTTACTGAAAAGAATAGTTGCATGTAGGTCGAAATTCAGGCATGAAATGGTTTTATTTTTATATGTGTATAAGATCTCACACAGACAGAAACTGGAGAGAAAGAATAGATGTTTTGTTTTGAATGGCTCGTATCTGAGGTTGAGGTCATAACCATTGAGTTCAGTCTGACAATAAAATGTTATTTACACCAGAGAACCTGCCCGGTTCTGTGCAGGTACCATGACGGGTATGCCTCCCATTCGCTGAAGGTTTGCATGACTGACAGTGTAGGAGAGCGTTTGCTGCAGAGGAGCCTTACGGCTGATTGAGCCATTACTCCTCACCATGTTTTGCAGAGACGAAGATGAACTTGTAGTAACTACCATAGTCTTGGGTGCGGTGTGGTGACCTCCGTTCATGTAGGACGGTCGGTTTGGTGACTGGCTCGATGTAGCTGTGAGCGGGTGGCGGTTGTGACCATTGTACCGACTGAATGAGTTTGAATCATACATGGGCTTTGGGTTTTGCCAATAGTGGGCATTGTATGTGTTGGACGATGTGAGGGTGTCATTTTCAGATGACCCATCTGCATGGAATGCTTTGATAGATGATGATGATGGTGGGAGGTCATCTTCCCTAAAGAAAGAAAAAGATAATAAGTACAGTTTTTAGACATGTTTACATTGGGGTCAGATTCAGAACAGTGAATGGTGAATCTCAAAGTGACAAAGTCAGCAAACAGGTAGGCAACCAAATAGCCGGCTAATCTTTTCAGATTTACATAGAATTACATAGAGTGTACAGCACTGTATGACCCAGGCCTTTTGGCCCACTTAGCACATGCAATTGTTTATGTAACAAGACTCTCCACCCATCCTAATCCTTCCTATTCCCTCCCACAAACTTCTGTTCCCTTGATGGCACGACATGTGCAAAATGTGCACTTTTGCAATTTCACCCAAAGATTTCAGCGTAAAAGGCAAATCTGACTAGTCAAATCTGGTTTGCAAACACTGTATTGCAATTTGGACTTTCTAATATTGAGATTGCACGTATCAATACCTGCATGTAAACTGGATTAAAGAATAATTTAAAAACCGATTAAAAAATAATATTCATTTATAGTGAAATTGTGTTGCTGTTGTTGCAGCGAGGAAAAAGTTAATGTCTGATGCTATGATGAAGTTATTACAACACCAGAGAAATTATTACAGCATAAGGAAAGCATTGTTTCACAACACAGACATCTTATACATTTCTTCCACAGGTTCTACAATGACCTATCTGCAAATAACAACAATAACTTGCATTTATATAGCTCCTTTCACGCAGGATAGTGTCTCGGAGTACTGTACAATGGCGGGTTTGAACACTGAGCAAGGGAGAAGAGGGAATGGGAGGTTATCATAGGCGTGGTCAAAGAGGTAAGTCTTAAAGTGAGATTTAAAGATAGATAAAGAGAGGGTGAGGTGGAGATATTGACATAGAGACTTTCAGAGCTTAGGGGTATATTGGCTGATGGCGGGAGACGTGTAGCAGCTGAGTAAAAGGGCCAGGCAGAGAAGTGGGGTAGAAGCGGGTGATAATAAATAAGAAGATCTGCGGGTGATCCCAAATAAGAATCTTGCACTTTCTATAAAAATATTATAAGACGAAGAGTCAATTCCAATTGGACTAACGTTACCCTGAGTTGCATAGGCTTCATTTTTGTAAAATAAAATGTTCCTTCAAAAATAAAAATCTTAGTTAATGGGAAGATGTGCAAACCCACATTCTAGTTCTGGGTTCTCTGAAATCATTCACAATAGTCAGCAGTTGAGGAATTAATCTGATGCTAGTATCTGTGGAGCAGCCTATAATTAACATTGAGCTGGTCACTTTATTTCAGGCTGAACTGAAAACCAGGTACAAGGAGAGAAAGTGCAGCATTTTCATTACCGGGCTTCTAACAGTGAAATATTTAAGGAGTAAACCTTTCCATTAAGATTACAGTACTTTTAAAAAAACTTTTGCAAGCCTAAACTTAAAAAATAACAAAAATGGGTCAATAAAACAGTGGAATGCAGCAATTCAAAGCAAAACAACTACATACTGGATGTTGCCTTTTTAGATATCTTTGTAATTCAATATCACTCCATTCATGTACTGCATCACCACAGACTAGAGTTCAAACTGGACTGTATGGCTTAGTACTACAACATACAGTGTATGTAGCCACCAAGCCATCATAAGAGTACTATGCCTGAAATAAATTATGCCCTATTTATATTGCACAGTTAGTCAAGTGGAGTTGTCCGGAAACAAACCAATACTTCAGCTGCAATATAAACTGAGTTCTATAGCAGGCAAGTTCAACAGAAGTTTTAAACTTCAAAAAATTATGTTCGAGAGTTCTTCCGTAAGCTTTTCTAATCTTAATTGAGAGCCGATCGCATGACCAGCTCTTTTGTAAGATTAAAAACTAACCAGCATTGACGGCAGTTAGTGGAGTTCTGTTCTTGCTTCTGGAAAATAAAAATCAGGTTTCCTGTTTCAAAACACTCCAGCAGTAGTAATAATAATAATAATCATCGTTTTGATATAACGCCTTATCATGTCGTAAAGACGTCTCAAAGCAATTCACAGAATATACTGTAAAATGGATTGACTGCCTGAAAGGGTGGCGGAAGCAGATTCAAAAATAGCTTTCAAAAGGGAATTGGATAGGTACTTAGAAAGGAAAAATTTGGAGAGCTATGGGGGAGTGGGACCAGTTGGTAGCTCTTTCAAAGAACGGCAGAGGCACGATGGGTTGAAAGGCCTCCTTCTGTGTCGTGAAAGACGCTATACAAATGTAATTTTGTATTGTAAGATTCTATGATTGTGTTTTTATGGGCAAAACGCAGTATCAGTTTCACACAGCAATGTACCACAGACAGTCATAATGAAGCCTAAAAATTACTGGTTGGTAGCTTCACCAGTTGGTAAAACTGCTAGCAGCTTGTGAAACAACAACAAAATTACATTTGTATAGTGCCCTTCACGTTGGGAGGATGTCCCAAGGCACTGGAAACAGAGTCAGAAGGTCCCAAGTTAAATCTTTTATCTGTGCTGAATCAGCTGACCTCAGCCAGGGTGGCAGTAGGGTACTATAATTGTCCTCAGCATCTAAGATGAGCGAGGACAAAAAAATGCAGAAATAATAACAACCCGGATTGTTGAACCGAATTACTATCCAGAACCCCTGGTGCAAAAATGCCCATGTGTGGACATTGTGCATGGACTGATTGGGCTCAGCTGCAATGCCTTCCACCATCAAATAGCCTGCCAACACATGTTTAGAATCACATATGAAGAATGACCATTAGGACAAGGTTCTGGAGGGCAGCACCCATGCACTGTACCCCTGGAGAACATGGCACCTTCAGAAAAGTGGGGGGAGGAACAAAACAACAATTAATGGCTATTGTTGGTGGGGAAGGGGCCACAGGGGCTGTTTTAAGGCAATGCACAGTGCATTTAATGTTCAATTCCAATTCTCTGATGCCCAGGGGGAAAATCACAATCTGGTAGAGCACTGTACCATTTATCGAAGGAATGGTCCAACATGAGTTAATGGATCTCAGCAAAGCAAGGACAGCTTTAGGGGTGCTGCAAGTGGTCTTGGTTGTTCAAGGGATAGGAAGATGTATCAGCAATGATTCCTGTTATTGATGGCTATCCAGTGACCTATGCTGGAAGATATACGCATTTAGATCTCAGGGAAGGAATCAGGCTTGGTTTCTGATACCCTGTTGGTCCTGTAGCTTGCTGACATACTGTCACTTATTGGCTGAGCTCACATATGAAGAATGAATTTGGGCAAGTACTGGAGGGCTAATGGCACCTGTGGAACTATATCAAAAGCAAGAGTCAGCAACTTCAGGAGAGGAGAGATCAGCAGAAAAAAAAACAATATGAAGATAGTCTATTAATGATGCTCTAATGCAAAGTCTATTCAGCATATTTTTAATAGTCAGAAAACAATAAAAAGTAAAATGAAATCTTCCTTCCCATCTTCTAGGAGCTGCTCAGGGAAGCATGGCTGGTTATTTTTAACTTGCATCATAAATGGTTATGATAGAGATGTGCCACTGCAGCTTTAGTAGGATTTAACACCAGTTGCCCTCTCTCTGAAACCCATTAATCTCCTAGAGCACTAACCGGATCTCATTGGGAATCTCTTCCTCTTCATATTTGTGCTTGCTCCTCCAGTAGAACAGAATGACGACAATGGAAAGGATGCAGAGCAAAAGCGCCAGGATGCCAGTCACCACTGCTCCTGCTATGATCCCAACATTCTGGCCCTGTGCTGTTATAGCAAAGAAATAAGAGAATTTCAGCTTGTTTTATAATCTCCATGTCTGATTTAAGCATTTTCTGCCTTCAGTTTGGATGTTGCTCCTCATCATGCAATGAAAGACAAAAAGGTGACTTGCCTCTATCTACTACAATCTTGCAGGCAGTGCTTTTTCCAACCATGCCATTGAGGGAATGCATTTTTAAACCATGTTTATGAGTGCAAGTGAATTGGGATATTTCTGTCTGGTTCCAGATGAACTGTGTGCGTCAGTTTGGCTCAGTTTGCAGCACTCTGATCAGTTAAAAGGTTGTGAGTTCAATTCCCACTCCTCCACATCAGGACTTTGAACTCATACTCTAGGCTGATACTCTGATGCAGTGCTGGGAAAGCATTTCATTGTCAGAGGTGCTGACCTTCTGATGGAACACTAAACTAAGCTCCTGTCTGCTCTGTCAAGTAGATGTAAAAGATCCCTTGACAGTATTTAAAAAGTGAAGGGAGTCTCTTCCAGGCAACAATCTCTCATAAAATTAGTTTTTCACTTCCTGGTTGCAGGACATTATAGTGTGCACGTGGGTTGTGCGTTCGCCTACAATTATACAGTGACTAAATTCTGTAGTAAATCCCATGAAACATTTTGAGAAATCCTCCTGATGGGAAATGGCATTATATCTACAAAAATTATCTTGTATGCTGTAAACTTCTGTAGTTGTCTCAAATTATTTCATCTCCCACAAAAAATTCAAATATTTTCCAGTAGATCTATAGTTACATAATTGGAAAAATATACTATTTGTCATAAATATAGAGAATGTTTTGCACACTGGAACAAGTCACATAGGTCTTTTCCGGTCCTGTCCATTCCTATGTTCCAATGTAATATTTACAGGCCACTCTCAATATGCAAAGGCTGCCAGGCTCACTTATGGAAAGATTTAAGAATATCATTTGTATAGCTGTGCAAATGGAGTTTGCTGAGGAAAAAATACCTTAGCAGTGCCCTAACTATGCTCACGTTTCACCTCCTATGGTAGGCAGTCTTGTAGCACCTCGTTGAGATTAACTAATTGATTTGAATTAAAGTGTGCTGTGAATCTAGGTCACCAAGGAGCTGGATAGCAATTGACCAAACTAATTTGACTTAGGACCCTTAACCACCATAGCAGAGTTATGACTTTCTTACCAGAAATCCTGCTTGGATCTAACACTACACAACAAGCAATTCTCTCACAAAGGGTATTTCTGTAGATTTTGGATAGCATGTGGGCAATGACAAATGAAGGCTTATGCCACAACATTTTCAAATTGTAATTGGCACAAATATGTTTAATAAATATAAATACTGAGGGATAATAATCCCTCAAGGATTATTGAAGGATAATAATCCCGCAAGAAAGAAATAATAAAATTGGTCACTTCAATCCACGATTGTTTTGGGACACTGCTTTGCACAATTGGCTGCTGCATTTCGCCCACAAATACAGAGTCAATTCACTTTACAGTATATTCTGTGAAGCGTTTTGAGATTTGAGACGTCTAGAAGACATGAAAAGTGCTATATCAAATGCAAGGATTATTTATTATTATTATAATATTACAGACAACGTGCTTTATGTGACAGTCTTGATTTATTTTTGTGCCTCACTACATCAGTGTTTATCTCAGTTGTGCAGTGCTAAAATGAAGTAGATGAAGCATCTAAAAGCACCCAACTGCAGTAAAAGAAAAATTCTTAGGACTAAAATAAATTGTGATGATTGAAAAGCCATTGGAGGAAAATGTGACATTTGCAAACACTATCTCTTACGGCAGTTTGCTTTGGGGCTGTTTCTTGACTGAGAAAATACTGACCGTGTTTTGGAATGGCATTCACCAGGCATTAGGATGGTGACATTTTTGCCTGATTTTTCTCAGTTTTAAGAACTTTAGCAGCAAATTGCACAATTGGTACTGGAATGTTTGGTTTGCAAAGCATGCATTTTAACCTTGTTGTGTAGGTCCAAAAGAAATAGTAAAAGTAAACCCACATTTTCACCACCCATTGTTAAACTGCTTGAAATAAATAGAACTTACCTAATATAAACAATGAAATACCCAAAATGTAACATTATTACTTTACGTAGCTATTGAGATCGAGTCAATCACTGCATTTATGAGTGAATTAGATAAATCAATAGAGCAAGGTAAAGGAATTTGGACAAAATAACTCCAGTGGCAGAGTCATGATGGGATGAATGGTAACCTCCTTTCCTGAAATTTCTATGATTCTGTTCTTATATTATGTGGCTTTATAGGTTATTTTTTAATCAAGGTACTCTTCCTCAATGTTCATTGTTAAATTGCTATGTGTATTTTATAATTTACATGGCACCTAAAACACTGTGGACAGACCAATACATTCTGCTTAGTTCACACAAGGGTTAAGGTGTGTTCATGGCTAAATTCCCCAAATGCTACTGCATTCAATATTCCAATTTCTGTTACTGCCTGAAACATATTGGGAATCTCATACAGGTCAAGCTGAATTCTGCACTTAAGAGGAGAAAAAAAAAAGACACAAAATGACATTTTCTACAAAAAGCCAATCTTGGCAGTCTACTTACGTGTGATAACCTGTAGATCAATGACACAGGTACTAGATCCAATTGCATTAGCAGCTGTACACTGGTACAAACCATTTGTGGCCGTGCTAATATTCCGGAGAATCAACGTCCCTTGCATTTGATCTGGAATGATATATTAAATATTTATTGGAGGTATAATAACTAACTATTGTATATATTATCAGTCTACCAGAACAGGTTTTTCTTTCATCCAAAACTTTCGTATCCCACCACCAGGATAGACCTGACATTGCTATAGCCGAAGAGAACTAATTTTATACTGAGTAACCTATTCATATTTTCCACAAGAATAAAACAAGATCCAACGATTTTTTCTCAGTCTGTTTTCGACAGTGACACATATTTCTAGAGTTTCATGCAGTGCTACAAAACAATATTAGTGTGCAGTACATGAAGCAATGATATCAATCTCAGACATAATACCCGTTCTGATAGCAGATTTCCGAACTGCAGTTGCTTGTTGGAAGGATGATTGTTTCTAACATCACTTTCCACCTTCCCTTCTCAAACAGAATTTAGACGTCATACTAAAATGTCAAAATTTTGTAATTTCATGAACAACCATTTGAAACATAACGTGACAATGTCCACTACCCAAATAACTGTAGTAGAATCAGGAAAAAGTCTCCTGATATTCAGGAGCATCTCCCAGCCTCCCTTGGCGATATCCGAGAAATGGAGAAAATAAAAATTCAAATGTGAAAAGCTGACATGAGTGGAATATCATGCAGAGGAGACCTAAGAGAGGTGTATAACATTTTAATGGGATTGAGCAAGTAAACGCAGAACAATGTTTTAGGATGCACCAAGGCAGTAGAACATGGGGACATGGGTTTAGAGTTGCAAAGGGCATTTCAGGCAGATATTAGAAAGCTTGTCTTTACCCAGAGAGTAATTACCAACTGGACTATGTTACCAGGAAAAGTGGTTGAGGTCACAAGATCAGCGAACCTATCGCTGGCTAATTGGCAAGTGCTCTCAGTGTGAATCAGGGTCATGTGACTGAATTGATTTCACATTTTAGGTCTTTAATGTATTTAAAGCAATGTATTTAAAGAAATGTCTGAAAAAATTCTTCCTCAAGAAAATTGATGCCTGAATAGTTATTGACTGTATAGGGAATAAACCTTGATATCTTTTTTGATAGACTCACCACTGAGAAGTGTAAACCTATACTCCTGGAAATAATATTACGTTTGATCTTATAAAACAATACAGAGCAGAAGGAAACCAATCGGCCATTGAGCCTATGATGGTCCTAACTCATCGACTTCAACTATCTTACTCTAATTTCAATTCCCTGCTCTTTTCTTTACCCTTGTATATTGTTCCTCTCAAAATATTTATCTAATCTCTCTGCCTACGGTTTCCAATCATAATGTCAAAACTATTCACCATCTCTACTACCAATTATAGTTATAATAAACCAGCTTTAAAACAGTCTCAGCACTATTCTGGGCATGGGAATGACAGGGAATTTATTATTTCAAATTGGTCAAAGCCACTTGTTGACCCCAAACCTTAGCATGTTTTGGGTTAGGAGTTATAGGCCACAAGTGGTTCATGGACCACTTGATTACTACTGAAGTAGCGGTTCAAACCTGCTGCAACACTCACCTCGAAGGGAAACATTTTGCAGTGTTGCTGAAAGCTGCTCAGATGGAACTGAATGGGTTGATAACACAGCAGACCCGACATTGATTTTACTCTCAATGTGATGCTGTGCCTGGTTACGAGACAATTCTTTTAAATAAGAAATGGGATTGCTTTCTGATATTTTAATTCATCATGTTTGATTTCTTCATATGATGGTGATTTATCTAATAAAGTTTAAAACCTAAAACCGTTAACAAGGATCATAGGAGTGAAAAATGCAATGTTTCATAACAGATTTGATGTGTTAGTTATCACATTGAATGTGTTAAGAAACATTGGATTTTCAGTCGAGAATTATTGACTGTTTTGTGGTATGAATGCTCGCCTCCTTCAGCACCGAAGCTCAGCAACTGCTATTTTTTGTTTCTAATGGTGGGGATTGGTGCTTCTCTGTCACTTCATGGAACACTGACCTAACCCAATCTGAGCTGAGCCGGTATTCAATAAAGTAGGACTGGAACTCTGTTCTCCATGACCGGGAACAGCAATGGCAGCACTGAAATCTTTGGACATAAACATTGTTACAAAATCAGTGGATGAAGAGCGCCCTGCGTGAGATTGTTTTAGAGTGGATTCCAGCAAATCCACATGATGCACTTCCAGTTACCTCCAACATTCAATATTTACAAATCCCTTTCAAATCCTATTATGAATATAGTATTTCACACCCCATGTCTAGAATATGTGCTTCTGATTGAATAAACTGGAATTGAATATTAGGCAGATTTTCAACAATTTTGCTTCAGTTTTGTTTGGTGCTCCACTTACTCCTACAAACGTATTTTATTGATTTGTATTTCTTTTGATCTCTTTAACATAAGCTCAAGCATTCAGCAGAGGCTTCCCAGCGGTGACATCTTTTTCAGAGAGTGGATGTTTTGCTTTCAAGCTCACTTTCACTTTGGACAGCTCTCAGAGCGCCAAGAATTCTTTTCATTAGTTACCCTTAGCAGACCTCACTGAGGGGTGTGCAGAGGTGAACGGCAATGTCCCATGCCAATGTACTATCTCACTGTTGTCATCCATATCTATTGCATTAATGGGACTCCTGTCCAAAAATAGCATTCTCATCTATTGCTTATTCACTATAATCTCCTGACATTTTACTCCAGTCTATCTCTCCTTTCCTTTTGATTAATGTTGCCTGATCTTTTCTTTTCTAGTCACAACTTTTACATTAATCTCTGTCATCTCTCTTTTTCCCATTTGCAAACATTTACTGTAAGGTGCTACAGTTGCTTTGATACATCAAAAAAAATTGTCAATCTCCTCCTTCCTGTTTAAAACATTAAACCTTCAAAGAAGCAGTCTTTCAGAAAACAGTTCCTATGTAACATCCTCCTGTGTGAATTTGGTTGATGGTTCAAATACAACAGCTATAAACACAACCATTATTAATATCACCATTATTAATTAAATTCATAAGCAACTATAGATATTACAGTAGAAACATGTTGGCATTGGAAAGGAGACAGTGTAGGGCAAACACATTTATAGCTGGAATTAGCACCTGAGTAATGAGGGGTTCCAGAAGTTGGGAATATTCACACTGGAGAAAGTGAAGGCTCACTCAAGGGAGATCTTACTGAAGTATTCAAGATCTTAAGGTGGGTCAATAAACTGAATGTTAATAATAATATATTTGAAATAATCAAAATATCTTCAAGAAAGCGTCACTGATTCAAGCTAGTAAACAAGCTAGGAAAGGGGAACAAATTGCTTTGGTTCAAATCTTTTACACGGAGGTGTTCAATTTTCAGAATGCACTTCCCACTGATGCAGTTGAGGTAGGATGAGTCAGAAAATTCAAGAGGGAATTAAATAACTATTTGGTGATGTATGAGAGTGAAGAAGCATATGGTTTATTTTGGTATGACTGACCAGACACACGCAATGGTATTTTCTGTCCTGAACATTTACATTCCGAACCGAACGGAAAGTTTGGTTCGCCAAACCGGATCTACTCCCATTAAACAAGGTTTTAATTTACACACTAGAAGTATAAAAAGTATATGCAATATACAGTAAACTCCTGATGATAAGACACTGGCGTAATTAATCACTTAAGCTTAATTACTACTTAAGCATCCATGTTGCCAATATCTGAGCCACTTTCTATGCAAAATGTTAACAAGGGACTCTGCTTTACTTGTCATTTTACTTAAAATGTAAATCGTCACATTCTAGAAAATCTTGTAAGTAATTACAATATAACTCATCCTGTAAGATGACGTCTTGCATCACAGAGACCTCCCGCTGTAGCCTGTGACTGGACAGGGCGGGAGGCCACAGTCCAGTCCTCCAATTGACCAGAGGACTCTGCAATGTATCTGAGCTTGTGCTCCCAACCTCCACTGAGCACCTGCACCAGTTACAATAGGACCTATGCCTAACTCATCGCTGAGCATTTTTCCATTAGAGTGACAAGTTATCAGGAATTCACTATAATCAGACAAAGAATGATATAACAACACTACCTTGCACTGATGTTGGGGGTAGGTTTACAAATGAATCCAGTTTTTCCCAAGAATATGCTGGAATGGGAATACCTTCTTCCGAACTACAGCTCAGGGTGACATCATTCCCAATGTCAGCTGCTCCCTGGAGTCTGCACAGTGGAATGGTGGGTGGCACTGTGGGGAGAAAGATTGCAAAATATCATCGGTGAAAGGAAATGCCCAGAAGCTCATGTGCAGCTTGTTACCGAAGCAGACAAAAACCATTCACTATCTCATAATACAATACATTCCGGTCAGGAATGTTTTCACATTAAAAAAAACACTGTGAAATTCCCCAGACAACTAATTGAAGCAAGTCCAGTGCAGTGCTGGAGAAATGCATGAATGAGCCATGAATGAGACATTAAACTGGGATCCCACCTGTCTGTTCAGGTGGACGTTAAAGATTGTTTATATTCAGAAAGAGAAAGAAGATTCTTCCGGTGTCTTGGTTAACCAACCATCCACTAGATAAATTTGTTGTTCACTTCATGGCTGATTGTGGGGTATTGCTGTATGCAAATTGGCTGCTATGTTCACCTATCAATACACAGTTATTACACTTTTTAATTACCCGTAAATCCTTATGAGATGTTTCAAAATTCCAGCCACCTCATCAAATGCAAGAATTATTACTATACCACTTTTTAGTACACAAATTAAAAAAGCCAATATATGCAGGCTCACATCACAGTACAATTGGACCAGTTCACATCTATCATGATTCTCATCAACACCCACACGTACTCTGCCCTGAGTCATGTAATAATTCCCTGCTTGGCTCATATTTCGGCAAGAGTATACAGCGTGCTGCCCCAGTGTGAGTGCATACAAGCTAGAAGCACATCCCTGCATTCAAGAATTCAAAGTGGGAAGAATATTACACACAAATGTTACCTTCTCTTTACCTGCTGTTATAGATACTCAGTGTTCTATCTACTAAACATCCATCTGAGATTGGAGCATCAATACTTTACCTAGCTTTGTTCAATTCCATGAATGCTATTGTTTAACTGTGCTTTGAACACAGTAAGATTTAACACCGAGTCTTTAAAAGATGTCCAAAGGGCATAATCTCAGGATTGTCACCGGAAGAGATAAAAGCGGATGTTTCACGCAGAAAGTCATTAGAATAGAAATGCTTTGCCACATGTGGCTGATAAAGCTAAGATCATAACATTCAAAAGAGAATTACAACACAAGCTCACCCGGCAGATGGTTGCAGATTAGTGTTAACCGTTCAGCACCACATAATACTATTCCTGTTGCAGTTATTGTCATCACTGCATTCAACTCTACACCACAGGCAACTTTCATGCACCTGGAGGAGACATATCAGGTGTATCCAAGATATATGCAAGATATCCATTTCTAATATTTTGACTAATGTTACTACTGTAATACTTTGTGTCATATCTCTGCACAATTTATTTTGTTTGACAATTCACATCAGCAGCAAACTTTGAGACAAGAAAGATTCTCTGAAGTCAGCATGTTTCCAAATATCAAGAGAATTATTGATTGCACACGTGAAGCCATTAGAGCACCAGCCAAGACTGCATTTGCTTTCCACAATAGAATGTATTCCATTAACGAGTGGGCAGTATCCAATAAACAGTGTCTGTCAATGCCCAGTATCCAGGGTCCTACCACAGTTCTTTTCTGTTACTAGAAAGGGAGGTGTGAAATGGTGGCTATTGGGAGATCTGGCTGTGCATTGCCTCCGTGGTTCCATGAATCATGATCCTATAATAAATTCAAGGACAAAGTCAGAGAGACATTTACAATGAGGCTCGGGTATCAATACAAATTATAATGGGGACATGTTTAGCATATAAAACAGATCTTGTCATTTGAACCAATTTAGAGAATAATTTTTTATTCCAATTAAGGCTGCAGAAATAACTTTGGCTTGCTATAAACCTTATCATAAGGCTTTGGAAAGGGACATTGTATGAACAGACGATGCAGTGCTTAAAAGACTTTTAGATTTAAAAATTAAGAGGAAATTAATGAAAGCAAATACCCCACATAGACGTGTTTCTGTGTACCACCATCTTTGTGTGATCAACGTTGCATTAAAGCGCTAGGAAAGATGTTATCTGCTTTGTACATTCATTATTTGCAAGTCGGGACAGGAGAAACAAAGTTCTCTTTGACGATGACACCAAGCTGGGGGTAGGGAGGGGAGATGAAAGTAAAAGGGAGCCGGATACAGATCAGACAGGGATTTGGATCAATTATCTGACAAAAGTGGCACAAATCATTTAATCTGGACAAACACACAGTGATGAGAAAAGGGAATGAAACTGTGCAGATTTAATTATTTTACTTAGAGAATGGTTATGATAAGGAATGCACTACACAGGGAGCAGATGGATACAGATTGTGTTAACATTTTGAAGGGGGAATTAGGTAGCTATTTAGAAATAAAGGTCAATTGAAGTGTTTGTGAAATGGAGGTCTAATAATAATAATCCTTGCATTTAATATAGCTCCTTATCATGCTTTTGAGACGTCTCAATTATAGTATAGAATTATTTTTCTTTTCTATGGGTCCGGTATTTAAAATGTTTTCAGGTTCTGTACACTCCTATTTCTATGTAAGCCATATGCATTATGTTGATTATTTGCTGCATTAATTAAAGCCATCATTTAAAAGTTTGATTAATGTCTTCTGATTCTTTGCCATAATTTTCTACTCCTGACACAGCTTCAGCTGCACTGTACTTTGTCCCCAGCTGAGGTTCTGGGAACTGTGGAAGGGAAGCAAGTGGGAGCTGAGCTGGCTTTAGAAACTCGTAACTCTATAGTTTCAAGGTTTTTGTTGTGAGCAATCTCTTCTGAAGGATGAAATAGCATTTTAAAAAAGTATTTAACATTCACATTGAGTGCATTCTGTTCTCCTAATAACATTCAATCTCATTCAAGCAGCACATTGGCAGTGAGATATGTGCTGTGCATATCAAGCACTGTTGCAGAAGCAATAAATCTGCACATTTGTTTCCTTGCCGCTGGGTTTGAAGTTAAAGATCTGTAACACAACGCGTATTCAGACTTCTACAGAAATTTTGAATACCTGTAATTTATTCAAAATTAGTTATGATTACTGGAATACATAGGCACATGGACCTCAATTATCCTCCAATTACCCACAATGGTCGCTTTCTTATGTGGATAATTGAGATTACACTGTTCTTGTTACAGTTCATGCAAATGTGCAATTTGTATATTAAATAAGTTCCAGCTGCACTTTTCTATGACACAGTTCCTATCTTTATACAGACTGTACTGTGGTTAAGATGACCTGATGAAGCAGCACTTTGCTGCACATTCGAGAAGAACAATCAGTTGGTGGAGACAAGCTATCCTCCTGCAGGGAAGGAGAGAACATCAGAAGACAAATCATACCAGACTGCATTTGAGCAAATTCCACTTGTTAAATAAACAGTGATACGGCCAAAATATGGAAGCAATGTGTTTGCCCGCTCTCTAGGCTCGGGACTGGTTCATACTGGAATTTTAAAATGAAGGCAACTAGCCAAAATGAAAATATAATTTTTTATAAAGCAGTGCACCTGGAATACATTGGTGAACATTGTATATGAAAGTCAGAAAAGAGCTGTGAAATATTTTGGAATAAGAGCACCCTCTAGTGTATAATAGCTGTCTTGCAGCACCTCAAGATGTAAATCCTTCAATTTAGGAATAATTAAAACACACCAGGATTGCTCATAGATCAAATTTTCTTACAGTTACACAATGAAAATATTATATTATAGCATTTCAGATTTGTGGCATAATCAGGTGTATGGCATTTTAATCTACAATTTGAGAATATTTTGTCATATTATGTCGGGAATGTCGCACATTGTGTCTCTCTGTAACCTGTGCAGCAACCTTGTAAGTGCAAAAGATGAGCAAAGAAAGTGACTTTGCAGTGTTTAGTGAATTGGTACTGGATGAATTGTTTTTTCAACAACAATAATAATAATCCTTGCATTTGATATAGTACCTTATCAATGTATCATTTAGGTGAAGTTTAAGTTGTTCAAGGAGAGATGTTAATGATAGTGGAACTGATGCATTGAAAAGAAGAGGCTTGACAAAGAGGAATATCCTTAAAGCATATAAGCAAGCCGGAAATTGGGATTACATGAGGTGACTCATGTGGAGAAAAGCACCAGCACAGGCTTGACTGGTTGACTGGGCTGCGTATGTGCTCTAGCATTCTTTGATTCCATGGGGGACAGGGAGAGGGGAAATTATACCCACATTTAATATAACACCTTATCATATCAATTGTCTCAAAAACACGTCACAAAAATATTTGCAAAGTGTAATTCTGTAATTGTAGACGAACGCAGCAGTTAATTTGCGCAAGGCGGAGTCCTACACACAGACATAAAACGAATGAACAATTTCATCTGGGGGAATGATGGCAAGGACATCATTCTATTTTCAAGTAACACCATGGTATTTTTAATGTCCACCTGAAGAGGCAGACGGGACCTTGGTTTAACATCTCATCAGAAGGACATTTTAATTTCTCCATTTAGAGCTTTATGGTTTTCCTAGGAAAGTATAGATTTCAGCCACCCTGGGCAGACAAACCCAGGAAAAAAAAAAATTAACGACAAAAAGAAACATGAGGTTGGGCGTAAGATTTACAAAATAAGCTTATTCCCTCAGGGTAGAAACAACATGGCAGCACTTGTACCCTGAGTGGCACAAATAACTTACCTGGTTAAGGGCATCACCTACTGGCGTTCATAAACATGTGCCTTATAAGAAATGCAATGCATTTAGGAATGCTACAAATTTTACCACAATTTCTTAAAATTGAAAATTGTGTGAATTTGGAAAAATTCTCAGATTCATTCATTTGGAAGTCTATTTGCCATCATTTTAACGACCAACACTCATAAATGGATTGAATAATCTCTTGCTGTGTTACAGGTTTCTATCGTTCTCCGTTTCTAAATGAAGCATAAAATGTGTACAATCTTACATTTTAAGGCAATGTGGTAGGCAAAGAAAAGTTATAAAAAGTGTCAAAACATTGGCTAGCATAGCATGTAGAGTTATAGTCATTTGAGAATGGTATCAGAATTAATAATATACCTAATACAGTGAGTCCAAGGACGCCTATGTTCCTCCCTCCTCGGTCAGGCAGGTTGTTCACCAAACACTGGTACGTTCCTGTGTCTGACAGCCGTGTGTTATTAATGAAGATGGAAGCACTGGTGCTGGGCATGGTGACAATAAAGCCCACGCGGGCATTAAATTGGGTCGTCCCACTGATTACCTGTCCTCCCTGGTACAAAATGACCTGCGATAGAAAACAAAAATACAAAACACATTGAACTCCTTAAATAAATATTTTTAAAAAGGTTTCTATAAAACTAACATGTGTATTATCACACAATCCTCCAAACTTTTAAATCTGTAACAAAATCTAAAATGTTGCATAATTGAAGTATAAATGAATCCAAACTACTTGTACGCGTGTGCTGATCTCATCAAATGGAATATGAATGTGTGCAGCATAGAATAATAATAATAATAATCCTTGCATTTGATATAGCGCTTTTCACGTCGAGAGGACATCCCAAAGCGCTTCACAGAACACACTGTAAAGTGAATTGACTGTATATTTGTGGGCGAACGCGGCAGCCAATTGCGCACAGCAATGTCCCACAAACAGTCGTAGATTGAAAATGACCAATTTATTATTGTTTTTGGTTTTGGAGGGATTATTATTAGGCTCTGTGTGGAGTAAGGAAACTTGCCCAAGGTTTCGCCCTGACCTGGAATTGAACTCAGGTCTCTCCCTTGCAAAGCGAGTGCTCTAACCACTGAGCTTCAGGACTCCATAGAAGGATAGAATGCAGCATAGAATTCATCTCATCATGGCTGTGGTTTTGTTTGTTTCCCTAATAGAAATATCTATGCTAATCCCATTGCCTTGCCCTTTTCCCCATACCCTTTAATATCATTTTTCTTCAATTATTTATCCAATTCCATACCCACTCCGCTTCAACACCCATTTGTGGTAAAGTATTTCATAATATAACAAACATGTGCAAATATGATTACTTTTTTCCCCGATGATAATCTTCAAATCATCCCCTCTTCTTACTGATTTACGAATCAGTTGAAATAATCTTTCTACAGCCATGTCACACTTACTTCCCAAATGGATGTGATTATGAGTCCCAATGAAATCATGCACATATGGATAATCTCTAGAATCTTGTTTGTTTTAATATTTTTCAGAGACTTCTCTTTCCTATACATATGAAAAATCCTTACAGGCATCCTAATCACTCTTGCTGTGATATTTTTATCATTCTTTCTTAGCTTACAAGCTTTCTTAACTATCAAGGTCCTAACGCAACTGTTTGCCTAAAATGAATTGAAACACTTATTAACTTCTACTTGATGAACAGTCATGACAACTATGATTGGTATTGGCAAAATTATGTGTGTTGTCTGTTGGTTGCACAGAATTCTTTGTTTATATCTGTCTGTAATTTTCTTAACGGGAAACAAACGCACCAGTCCTGTAAACCATGCAGCGTTGCTCTCTCACATTCCAACCAAGGATTCAATTGCAGTTACCTACGGACCTTTTCATTTGCATTTTCCTCTTACCTCTTGACCCAATGTCCACTTTGACTCATGCAACTCCCTTCGCCTAAAGTGAAGAAGTTATAACAAAACCTAGAATGGGAAAAGGCTGTTTTTTTCATTCTACAGGGTGACCAAAAAGTCATGATAACTACCCCATTATCAAAAAAATCATAATTTCTTTAAGACTTATTAGACATCGTAATGGTATCACACTTTTTGGTCACCCTGTACATATCCACCCCACTGTGTGTGGGCAAAAAGTTTCTACCCTTTAGGCTTTCAATCCACGACTGTTTGTGAGACACTGCTGTGCGCAATTGGCTCCCGTGTTTCAACTACAAAATATACAATCAATTCACTTTATAGTATATTCTGTGAAGCGCTTTGAGATGTCTCCAAAGACATGATAAGACACGATATCAAATACAAGGATTATTATTATTATTATTACCCTTTTTAAACTTTCTTTTAGCTTTCTGAGTCAAATTTCCTGCTTACTTTTTTATGCCTCTCAGCATTTTATAATTGGAATGGATGAACCCTCTCTCTTCTTCTCTGTAATGAAAATAAGTTCATTTCTTTAAGCTACTTTTCACCTTAGAGACCAAGTCCCAGATTATCCAAGGCATCATTCTCTGAAATACCGACAACATGACCTTGTCCTTTTAAACATAAAATTCTCCCAAATTACACAAAATGGGGTCGCATTTGCAGTCTGTTTGATATTCATCACATTAAATGGGCTGGAGACATACTCTCGTTCTCATTTAGTAAAGTCCAAGTCCACAGCATTGGATTTATGGTCCTTGGATATTTGGCTCTTCAGTTAACAAACCTAAAGTGTGATGTTCAGCTATCCAGCTTGCGAACCCCACTGTTGCGTGGGAGGATGTATCGCCAGCCCATTCAATAAATATCAATCAACTGCAAATTTTATCTCAATATTTCATATGTGACCTCAACAGTGACTAATACAAGCGAAGACCGTTCAAAATATAAGCAGGCCACTTGTGGAAAATCTTGCATCAAGACTGAGGAGAATGCAAATATTGCGCCTCTTCACTAGATAGTGATTTAAAAATTAAAACATATATAAAAAAAAGCCAAGCTAGCAGTAAGGAATCAAAACATGTCATTGAGTTTAAAAAGGTGGTGAATTAGTCCTTAAGATTAGAGGGAGAAGCCAATCTCCAAAAGACAGGGAGGGGAATTCTGCCCCAAACTTGTTAATAAGTGCACGACAAAGACAGATCATCATTATCACCAGCGATAAATATCACATTACAAGCTGCAAATTTGCCTACAGATCTCTTCACAAATATTTGAAAAAACGCATCAATACTACTGAATGCTTGAAAGAAAGAAGGAATGCTTGTAACAGAGTGAGACAGCACTGTTAAATGTATTACCCCACGAGGTGCAACATTTAGTTTTTGGCTTTCCTAGAAATATCCCAGCTCATCAATACCAAGGATGTCAGACCCAATTGTCATCTAACTGCCACTAACCAACTAATGAGACTTCAGGTTGTGAGCAAGTCTCTTATCCCAAGACCACTGAACCTCCAAAATAAATCAACTAATGGTCAAAAATTAAATAATCTCCAACTCACCAGGATTAACACTAAATTGGTCAGAACTACAAATCACTAACAACAACAACTTGCAGTTAATATAGTGCCCTCCATGCAGGGCAGCTTCTCAGAGCACTTAACAATGGCGGAGCCTGACTGCGAGCCAGGGGGGGAGGTGACCAAGGGACTTGAAAAAGGGGAGAAAGGGGGCAAGGCGGAGGGATTGAGGAAGAGTGTTCCAAAGTTTCAGGGCGTACAGGCTGAAAGCGGGACTTCCAATGGTGGAGCAGAGGGTGCGAGGGATAAAAGCAGGAGGCTGATGCCAGTCGAGCAGAAGCCACCGGGTAGTGGATTGGGGAGGAGGAGGTTGGAGAGATAGGGAGGTGCTAGGGAGTGAAACGATTTGAACCTGAGTGTGAATGTGAACACTAACCAGCCAGCTGGCCTGAATTAAGTACTGTATAGCTGATATATTTTCTAAAATGTTACCTAACACTTAGTATCAAAATGTTCAGCAAAAAGCAATGTGTTTGCTTGAAAAATGCTATGCTTGGATTTATAACATAGAATAAATAATTCAGCCAGCTGTGCTTTGAGATGTGAAACGCACTATATAAATGTGCATTGTTGTCGTTAAAACGATTTTCCCTGTTAGAAAAGCTGTTTTTCAAGAAAGAAGAAAGCCTGCTCAGTAACGCTCATGTTTTACTGATTGAGTTGAATATAATTGAAGCTTTTTATCCAGGCAAGCTACGAAAAGTGTCTTCACTCAATATCTGTTGAATGTGCAAAGAAGACAACACCTTCGACTTACAAGTCAGGCAGTTTAAGTGACATCTGGCAAGGAAAATTAATCAACATAAACAGGAAATACTAAATCATATTTGCGAGGATAAAGAGGAAAAATAACACGTCAGATGACAGACAGATGGACAGATAATATCTTCTGAATTGCCTTGATTATCAGATCACAGATGAGCACAAGAAAGGTTCAGATGAAGGAAGTCCTTTGATCCTCCCAGAATACAACCCTACCATCTTCCCATTACAACATCCAACTGTTTCTTAAATGAGTCCAACATCCAAGCGTCATGCAACCTTCCTTGTAATCCTTTCCAGTTGTTAATTATTCTCTGGGTCAAAGAGTACTTCCTGGGTAATGTCTTCGTACTGCCCTTCTTGTTCTGCTGATTTGGTGTATCTAAAAGCAATATTCTGGGTTTACTTTCTCAATTAAATTTAATGTCTTATACACCACTACAACATTTCTGTCAGATATCACTCTTTGAGGCTTAATAGTCCAATCTTATCTAAATATTCTTTATACCTCATACCGCTAATACTGGGAATTAGTACGGCTTGTGGACTATATATTATGTTACGGCTATTATAGACTTTGCCTTTCAGATGAGATATCTGCCTATTTTCAGGTGAACATTTAAAGGTTTCAATATCCTGTCAACAATCCTCCAAATAAATTAGTCATTCACTTCAGGGGTGGTTGTGGGATCTTGCTGAGAAATGGCCACATAATTAGAGTCACTATGTTTGACTTCTAATTACTTGTGCAGAAATGTACAATGTTTTATTGTAATAAGGCACTTTTGTAAACTCTGTCTAGTGAGTTACAGATAGAAGAGGGAAGCAGGCCACAATTTGCTACTGTGTGGAATCTGGACAATGACAATCCACTGCAGATTATATCAAGAAATAATAATAATTTCTTACATTTGGTGGACTGCCTTTCGTGTCAGGAGGACACCTCAAGGCATTTCACAGAATATAGTGTAAAGTGCAACGATAGCGCATTTTACAGGTGACACAAGAGAATGCATGGGATTGGAACCTTAAATCATTCCACATTAGTTAATTGGGATTTATTACGTAATCCCATCCAATTAAAGCAATGTTTAGTTTTGTTGAGTCTACTTTTCTAAAAGCCTAACAGCAGTTATATCTCGGTGCACCTGGAGAACAAGACTTTCCCTTTCTTGCCATATGTTTTCTTGTCATCATAGTAGATGGCAAGCAGCTGCAACCAACCTTTGGAATCACAGTGATAATGTTACCTTTTCAAAATAACTTTAGTTCAGGAGATATTTAATCCGGAAGCCCTCTAATTGTTCAGTGGGTAATAATACTAAACTGGGATGATATTTGCTATCATTCTGGTTTAGTAGTATTGTTGTAAATATCTGGTGATATTTACAACAATAAATTAGATATAATCAGATGTTTAATCAAACACTGCCAGGAAAGGTGGTAGAGACAAGGACACTGGAGTCATTTAAAAAGCAATTTAATGCTGTGGGCATTCTTGAAGGATGAGATCAGATGGGACAAAGGGCCTTCTTTATCCAAACTGATCTTGTGATCTTGTCTGGCCAAACCACAAAAAACACAGAATCTTTGTAAATGTTGAACTTGGAATTTAGTTATCAGATACTAATTGGTTACACCACTAACCAAACAGATTACAAACAAATGATAATATTCGGGGATATTTTCTTTAAATTTATGATCTTTATCCAAAGAGCCGAAGAAAACCGTGAAATACAAGGGAAGTAGGTAATGCGACAGGACTTGAAACAAAAACTGAGCACATAGTTAGTAAACTGAACAGTATCAGTCAAATTGTAATTGACTAAAACAGGATCCATGAAAATCAAGACCAGATGATGGATTAAGTAAAAAGTGCAATGTTAAAAGTTACAGAAGTGTGAGATAGGCTATGAACTAAAGGCATGATCCAATTTGAAAAAGGAAGGACGTTTCTCCTGATGTCCTGTCCAAGAATCCTCCAGATTAATTAGATTATTCACTTAATGGTTGTTTTAGACTTTACTGGTACAAATGCCTAGTGGGTTTGCCTACCAAAACCCTTGACAGTAATTGTGAAGCACTTTGAGAAATTTTGTAATGATTCAACACAATAAAAATACAAGTTCTTGTATTGTTAAAATAAGTGTAGAAAGAATGCATACTTTAGCAAAAAAAATTCAATTAGGAAAGCTAAGTGCAGAGACTGAGTTTTTGTTGGCAATATAAATGCCTTTTATATTTGTTATTCTCTCAATAGAGACTCAATAGACACTCAAAAAATTACTGGAAAACTCCAATTGTGTATTCTGATGATAAAATCCTTTTAATAGGATCTTTCTAATTCTCAGAGTGCAGGAGGCAGGCAGGCTCTCCTGGTCATCAATCTCTTACGTCAACATTACTAACAAACTCTTAAATGACTTCTACCAGATAAGTAGAAAACATGTGCTTTGCAACTTAATGCGTAGGTGGGACAATAAATAATGAATTGGTGCTTGGAACCATATAGCAAAACAATAACTATATAACAAAGTCACAGAAGTGCAACCTGCTGAAGTGTCACATTCCAGGTGGATATATAAAGCACCGCATAATAAATGTCAATATAAAACACAAATCACAAATCACTGCTGACACAAGGAAATACAATTTGGCCTTATGTGTTCAAAATAGGAGTGCAGTCTATTGAATCCCAACAAAATGGGTGTTGGCTGTACAGTTTCTGGTGTCTTTCATACTGTATCTATTTTGCGAATTTGCTCCAGTAAACCGTCAGTAAATTTGCAATGTAAACTACTGCCTTCAATGTCTGAAAAATCCACCCGGAGGATAGGTCTTTGAAGCAGCATTTTATCTTATTATTTCACTCTTAATTTTGAAACAACACATGATAAAACAGAGCTAAATCACTGCACACACGGACAGGCGTAATCTCAAGAACCCCAAAACACATGGGTCGACCACATTTTTTCTTCCTTTGTGACAATTGTCACCAGTGAACATTATCCCATCACCCACATTCATTCTGGCTGGAACACCCTACCCAAGTATTATTCGTTTGCTCCAATAAGTTCTTAAGAGGCGAGTACCACAAAAAAACACTTATAATATATCCTGTGAAGCACTTTGAAATGCCCTCCTGACGTGAAAGGTGCTATATCAACATAATGGTTATTTATTTATGTACAGTTATTAAAATTATAAAATTTTCATATTCATCAATTCATGAACACAGATAATCCCATCATTTTGTTTCAAAGACAAACCTGCTCTGGCTGGTTGGCATTAGAGAGAGGTGTCACAGTCCAGATAATGTTTAGCTGATTCAGTGCAGCGCTTGTTACGAAGGTACATGGTAGTACGGCTGTTTGACCTCTGGCGACTTGCACACTGTTGCTGTTCACTGTAACTTCCAATGACTCCACCCATCCTGCCAAGAAACAATCAATAATATTACAGTGGCACGTTTACAGCATCTGTTAGACTTGAGTTTAATCATTGCATTCAGTCTTGTTCATTAGTTGGATTAGCATTTGTTGCAAGGCTCCAATAGAATGAACAAGCTCAGTAAATGTCGAATAAACCTAGGAAGAAAAACATAAGTCGTTCGTGAATATCGTGTGAATCGCAGGTGTGTGCTAAGATTCAGATCTTATTGCATTACAAACTCCTCTGGGTTTTTATTTAAAATCAATACAAAGCTAATATTCACCTGTACCATGTGGTAAAATAAATCCCACAAACATTGCTGCACAATTCAGTCATACAATTCAACGCAAGGAAGAACTTCATTCTAATTATCATCTTTATTTCGGACTTATTCTACATTCATACCTCTATAATTCAACTCATTAGAAGACTGCCTATGATGGCTTAATTTTCACTTTCCTTCTAAAGATAGGAAGATCGCATCAACTGTTCTTGACTATTGGCATTTAGCATTCATAAAGTACAACCCTGGCTTCAAGTCAGGGCCAATATACAAAGAAAATTAATGTTCAAACGCAGTGCATCTCATCAATCATTATAGCCATTAATCATGTAGTTTTCCGAGCAATAATACTACATATCTGTTCAATGTCTCTCCACATTGCATTGCTTGTCAGGATACTATTCCTCTGCATTGACATTTTCACTACCTCATCAGAAAATCGATACAATATTCACCTGAAACATATTATTCACCTGCACTGGAATGTCACCCTTAATGAAGTGTAAAAACTAAACATTGAAATGTGTGAAAGGAAACATGCTGTCGATGTGAATCTTTATTGGAGATGTAACCAGGTACCGTATTATCAAATTTGCCACATTCAATGGACACAGAAGTAAAACTAGGGAGTTTCTTGTACCTGTGCTCCCTTATCCTGATATGTTGGCAAATTGAAAAGTAAACTATCTCTATCCCATTTAGAATCTTATAATAATAATATTAATAATAATAATCCTTGCATTTAAAACAGTATCTTATCACTTTGTTGAAACATCTCAAGCCGCTTCATAGGATATACTGTGCAGTGTATTTGTAGCAGTCAATTTGTGCGTAGCTATTTCGCCCACAAAATATACAGCCAATTTACTTTACAGTATATTCTGTGAAACGCTTTGAGAGGTCTCGAAAACGTGATAAGCCTCTATATCAAATGCAAGGATTATTTTATTATTAGCTAAGTCCCACAAATTGCCATGAAGTAAATGACCAATTTTATCTGGAAGATTGTTGATTGGTACACAGGGAGAATCACCCTTCTCTTTTCGAATAGTGTCCATCTGAACAGGCAAATTGGAACTCGATTTAACATCACATCCAAAAGACGGTACCTTCAACAATGCAGCCCTCCCCCAACATCGCAGTGAAGTGACAACCTAGGCCATGAGTTTCAAATTTCCAACCTTTAGACTCATAGATGCGAGGATGCTACCATTTGAGCCAAGCTGACACATATTTACTACATGTTAGTAGACTGAGAAACAATATTCCAGACAGAAGTGTCTCATTAAATTGAGTGATGGACTTTAAGAGATTGACTGAAAGTTAGAAACGCTTTTGATACATTGGGTGAAAAATGTGATGTGATAATTATCACTGGCAATAATTATAAACATAGTGAGATATTCCAGTCAATGATTGATGAAGGCCTCCCCCAAACTTTGTTCAAATGGATATACACAGACTTGCTTGTGGCATCCATCAAACTAGTCAGCGGTGGCTTTGAACCTGTCATCTCGTGGATCCCAGCATTTACTATGCTGGTTTGGAGAATACAGCTGTAATGATACTTTAAAAATTGAATTAAGCCAGTATTCTGTGAACCAGCGCTAAAGGTGCTGGGATTCACCTAACAGCAAGTTCAAAGGTGCTGCAAAGCTGATTCCATGGCTGCCTCAAGCACATTTGGGTGCAACCATCGGAACAAAGTCAGGAGGGGGCGGGGCACAGTCATTGATCTGGACATTTTCAAGAGCAGAATGTCTCATAATCTGTGATCATTATCACATTACCCACTGCATTTGTCATCCCCTACTGTGAAAGTTTTCATTTAGTAAATAAATATATTTCAGCCTCAAACAACTATGTACCTTCACTGCAACAGTAAGCAAATTTGCTGCCTGTTGAAGATGATATAATCAATATAGTCAGCAGTAGATCAAGGGCATATTAATTGATGGAATTGGTAGAATTCACTTTACAGTATATTCCGTGAAGCGCTTTGAGACGTCTCAAAGATGTGATAAGGCGCTATATCAAATGCAAGGATTATTAGTATTACTATTATTAAATAAGTATCTGGCTTCTCCAGTCACTTATGGCCTGGGAAACACATTGCGCAATGGGTGTCAACAGTACTGTTGCTGGACTGATTCTGTAATTATTGACTGACAGGCAACATATTTTATATTATCATTGCATACGTATTACCGCAGCCGAATCAGTACCAGTAAGCTCCTACTAGGATTATGTTTTGAATTACATGTGTGGTTCTGAATCAGTGAAAGATAATTTCCTGGTTACATCACACATACATCTGGCAAAATATCATTGAAATTGTATCAAGTGCACTATAACATCAGCAGCAAAAAAACTGTGTCCCTCCCACTTTTGGCTTACGAAAAAGTTCAGCAACATTGGCTTCACACAGACAATTTACAACAAGAGGTGCCACCAGAAATCGCATAGCAGGCACAGAATTCAGCAATCATATGCCACAGTGCATTTTTACATTATTTTGTATGAAATGTTTGCTTACATTAGTAGATCATGTTACAATGCAGAATCGCAAACAATACTCTCACAGGCTCCATTGGGCTCTCAGCAGACCGATTTACTATCTGCACCATTTCAGGGCAGCTCAGTATTGGAGTTCCAGTCACACAACACGAGATTCCCAAGCTGCCACTTTGCATCCGACAGTATCCTGAACTAATGCCCTCCATTCTTTCCCCCCTCCTTCCCCATTGAGAGTTTTGGATGGACAAACAAACGGAGCTTTATGAGGCAATGTAGTACTCATGCTTAGGGGGACAGGAAGCTGGCAGGACCTCCATAAGTCATGCTTAAAGAATTCTGTGCTATCTGTATGAGCTATTTTAATTCATGCTTGGGGATACTATTAGTTCAGTGATGCAAAATACTGTTACAGTGGCACTGCTTTTGGTCAATTTCCATCATACCTTTCTTTACCTGGGAATCTTCTGTCTCTTGTTTCACCTTTTAGCTATTCATTACATAATAATAATGATAATAATGATAATAATAATGCAAGAATTATTACTATTTGCGCACTTGAGAAATCTTGACAAGGTGATATGTGCCTTTTCATGTTGTCAAGACTTCTCAAAATGCTACTCAGGATTTTACTGTAAAGTGCTGGAACTGTGTATTTGTAGGTAAATTACATTGTACACCGAATTACCTTTACATAGTACAGTAAAACTCGCATAAGTCTTATTTTTATAAATCATATAATCTCCTAAATTTTACATTCACCCGAGTCCCAATCAGTTTCCTATCATACCACTTAGATTTCTTTGCACTACTCATATTAATCATCTCTTACCGCTGTTCCCCTACCCTCCATTAATCCCAAACTTCCGGCTACATTGAATCACAGGAAATGACGTCCTACTCTCCCTCTCCTCCTGGCTCAGGGTCAGACCCTGTCACTGTCAAGTGCACCGGGTCGCTATCCTGCATGAAGGGCGCTATATAAATGCAAGTCGTTGTTGTAGTGGGCAACTAGTGTCCTGTACAAGTTGCTGTGACTAGTACTCTATCCCTTCAGCTATACACTCCAAGATCTTGTTTGCTGTGTACTGCCACATCCTATGCTGATGTTTTCAGTGATCTATCCACGAGTTACCTTCAAAATCCTTCTCTTGTTTTGACCATGAATATCATTTGATTTATGTTCCATTCTGGTTCTCCTTCTCCAATCCCATTATCCTGCTTTTGTCCACATTAAATGGCACATTCAACTGTACTCGCTCAATTCCCTAATCTATTCTGATTCCTCTGGAATTGGTCACCCTGTTCCCTGTTATTTTCAAATAGCCTTAGTTTGGTACCACAACTAAAGCTAAACAGCTTTGCTTTTGTGTCAGTTCCAAATTATCTATGCATGTAGCATTGCACAATTGTCTTCTCATAAAGCAAAACTAACTCGCTAATTTAATTATATATTTCTTCAAGTACTTAATTATTCTCTCCTTCAGGACACCATCCAATGTTTTCCCAGCAGAAGACATTAGACTCACTGCCTTATTATTCCCTGGGGTACCCTTTCCTTTTATAAACTCACCTCACGTTCCCCAATCCTTGCGCACCACTCCTATTTCCAATGATTCACAAAAGAAACCTGCTAAAACATGACCAATTTCATCCGTCATTACCTTAAGTACCCTAGTGTGTATTCCTTAAGGGAATGCTACACTATCATTTATAGTGCACAGACAATTCTGTTGTACCGGTGGATGGGCAAGTTAATTGGTCTTGAACTTGAATCATCCAGTTAGCCTGAGTTTCTTGATATGATACAAGACCCAATCTCTTATTATTATTTAGTTGCAATTCCATCCATTGAGTCATTATCTTGTATTTTCTGGGCCTTTGGCACTTTCAAAGATCACAGCAGGAGAAACTCTCTATTGCTGCTGAGAACAGTAATTGATCAACATCCCATGATGTGTAAGAGTGTCTCACACGTGTCTAACTGACCCTGGAGCACATAGCCCAAATATGAACTTGATTTTTAAACAATGTGCGGTTATACTGGCAACATTTCACACCCCTTCTGGTAAAAAAAAACAGTAATACAGAGTTCCCTTTTTAACAACATTCCTCAAAGCTAAGTTACTTTTTAAACATTTCTCAGTAAATGTATGAACATTTCTAAATTATTATATTACTCCCGGTCAAACCAGAGCAAAGTG